CAGGTAAGTCAGTGATGCCTTTACTGTCTGTAGGAAAACGGAACATTTTATTATATTGAAGTCATTTTAAAGTAAAAACCCGTGGACCCGGGTTCTGCCGGTCGGTCCTCAGGAACCGCAGCTGTCTGGTTCTGTTTCAGACCCATTAAAGTTGAATTGGACCTGAATGAAACCTGAGTCCTGACCTCTGGGAGCRTCAGAGCTGATCTCAGGTCCGGTTCCAGGAAATATTGATGCTCTTATCAGTGAAATCAGTTTGGACCTGGGCCCGGCCCGCTGAAGTTCTGATTAAAAACACAGGAGTGTCTGACAGGTGACACCTGGAGGGTTCAGGTGAGTCTGGTCCAGCCACAGAACCTCGGTTCTGTTAGTGTTTGAGTGTAAGTCCTGACAGGTTAAAGGTTCACTTCTGTAGGAACAGAACCGAGCCCAGCAGCTCAGCTTGGTTCTGGTTCAGAAGGCACTGGGTCAGACGCTGTAAATAAGAAATGAAGATTCTGCTTCCTGCAGCGTCAAACCATCCCTCCCTGCAGAACCAGACCAGACTCCGGTCCAACAAACTCTCAGAACCTTTACTGACCCGGTTCTTCTTCCAGCTGCAGAACCTTTGTCGTTTCCTCTGAGCCCGTTTTTTTATTTATGTGGTCCTAAAACACCGGTCTGTGGTGGATCAGGGAGTCCAGGTTCAGTTTCTGTCTGCTCCTTGTTTTTTGTGTCAAGTCAAAATGTGGGCGGAGCCACGTTTATTTATTTATTTATTTTATTTGCGGGGGTTCTGGTCAGTTTTAGAGTTACTGAGCTAAAATCAGAACGTTAGCTAAATGAGACATAAGATGATTTTAAACCCTCCACTCTTTGGTCTGGATTCCTCCTTATTGTAACTCCACAAGCCCCGCCCCTTTTCTGAGCTGTGTCTCAGATCAACTCATTTTGAGGCTGTCTCTTTAAATTCAAAGGAGGAGCTTCACGCCCCGCCCCCTCCAGCTTCCAGACCGGTTCATCTCAGTTTGATAGAGGGGTTTATGGTTATATAGCTGCGCAGAAACATCTTATTTACAAATTTGTTAAATGGATCCATGATTAGTTGTAACATTAGACTGGTTGTTTTTCAGCACAGAGTCTGATTATTGTTATTATTATTTTTAAAGACTCTAATTATTGTTACAGTGAGAAAGTTGTTTTTTCCGACGCCACTTGAACGTTGCTCGGGTCTGTCGGACGGGAAGCGGTTTGACCAAAAAGGATAAAAATAAACACGTTATCATCCCCACGCTGGAAAACATGAACATAAAGGTTCTGTTACGATATCGGGACGATAACTAGCGTGCACCTTTAAATGTTTTATTTAAGAATTAATTAATTTAATTTAAGTATTAACATCGTTCATTGTGTGGACGAATCATGGCAGCTCTAATGTGATCCCTTTAATCCTGACTCTTCTCTGTCAGACCTTTGTTGTCTCTGCAGTCACTGATAAACACTCTCGGTGTGACACAACTGTGTCTGGTCAGAACCGTGGGCCTGAAGGACACGGTTCTGCTCCAGCACAACTCTCAAACATGGAAGACGATGTCGTCAGTCATGTGATCGGCTCTGTCCACCTGTCGTTGCTGTTTCTGCAGTGGGCGGGGCTTACCTGCAGGTCTACCTCAGTTTCTCTGGGTATAAACAACAGATGTCTCATGAGACACGCTTACAACTCAGAGTGGACGCACTTATCCTCTGTTAGTCAGGTTTGAGACGTGGCTATTTCCTGGAGTGGTAGTAAAGGGGTAGTAGAGTGGTAGTAGGGTGGTAGTAGAGGGGTGGTAGAGTGGTAATAGAGGGGTAGTAGGGTGGTAGTAGAGTGGTATTAGAGTGGTAGAGTGGTAGTAGAGTGGTAGAGGGGTAGTAGGGTGGTAGTAGAGTGGTATTAGAGTGGTAGAGTGGTAGAGTGGTAGAGGGGTAGTAGGGTGGTAGTAGAGGGGTAGTAGGGTGGTAGTAGAGTGATATTAGAGTGGTAGAGTGGTAGTAGAGGGGTAGTAGAGTGGTAGAGGGGTAGTAGAGTGGTAGTAGAAGGGTGGTAGAGTGGTAGTAGAGTGGTAGAGGGGTAGTAGAGTGGTAGAGGGGTAGTAGGGTGGTAGTAGAGGGGTAGTAGAGTGGTAGTAGAGGGGTTATAGAGTAGTAGAGTGGTAGTAGAGGGGTAGTAGGGTGGTAGTAGAGTGGTAGAGTGGTAGTAGAGTGGTAGAGGGGTAGTAGGGTGGTAGTAGAGGGGTAGTAGAGTGGTAGTAGAGGGGTAGTAGGGTGGTAGTACAGTGGTAGTAGAGTGGTAGAGGGGTAGTAGGGTGGTAGTAGAGGGGTAGTAGGGTGGTAGTAGAGGGGTGGTAGAGTGGTAGTAGAGTGGTAGAGGGGTAGTAGGGTGGTAGTAGAGGGGTAGTAGGGTGGTAGTAGAGTGATATTAGAGTGGTAGAGTGGTAGTAGAGGGGTAGTAGAGTGGTAGAGGGGTAGTAGAGTGGTAGTAGAAGGGTGGTAGAGTGGTAGTAGAGTGGTAGAGGGGTAGTAGGGTGGTAGTACAGTGGTGTTAGAGTGGTAATAGAGTGGTAGAGTGGTAGTAGAGGGGTAGTAGAGTGGTAGAGGGGTAGTAGAATGGTAGTAGAGGGGTGGTAGAGTGGTAGTAGAGTGGTAGTAGGGTGGTAGAGGGGTAGTAGAGTGGTAGTAGAGGGGTAGTAGGGTGGTAGTAGAGGGGTGGTAGAGTGGTAGTAGAGTGGTAGAGGGGTAGTAGGGTGGTAGTAGAGGGGTAGTAGGGTGGTAGTAGAGGGGTAGTAGAGGGGTAGTAGAGGGGTAGTAGGGTGGTAGTAGAGGGGTAGTAGAGTGGTAGTAGAGTGGTAGTAGAGGGGTAGTAGAGTGGTAGTAGGGTGGTAGTAGAGGGGTAGTAGAGTGGTAGTAGAGGGGTAGTAGAGTGGTAGTAGAGGGGTAGTAGAGTGGTAATAGAGTGGTAGTAGAGTGGTAGTAGAGTGGTAGTAGGGTGGTAGTAGAGTGGTAGAGGGGTAGTAGAGTGGTAGTAGGGTGGTAGTAGAGGGGTAGTAGAGTGGTAGTAGAGGGGTAGTAGAGTGGTAGTAGAGGGGTAGTAGAGTGGTAGTAGAGTGGTAGTAGAGTGGTAGTAGAGTGGTAATAGAGTGGTAGTAGGGTGGTAATAGAGTGGTAGTAGGGTGGTAGTAGAGTGGTAGTAGAGGGGTAGTAGAGTGGTAGTAGAGTGGTAATAGAGTGGTAGTAGGGTGGTAGTAGAGGGGTAGTAGAGTGGTAGTAGAGGGGTAATAGAGTGGTAGTAGGGTGGTAAT